CTTAGAAGCTGCTGTGTGCTGGGTGCTTTTGGGGTGGGGGTGTATTCCAAAGAGGAGAAGTCCCTGCCCTCTTATTTTAAAAACATTGGGGACTCCTGAGGGATTACGTCAGTGACCAGGAGAGATTTAATTCACCCCCCCCCCCCCCCAGAGAGAGCCGTGTGGAAGGCTGCCTGTGGTCTCGAGGAGGATGGGGTTCTGCGGGGGAGGCTGCAGCAGAGAACACCGGGCTTCGGGGCCGCTTGTCCTGGACGAACAGGAAAGGGCTTGGTTTCCCCAAAGCCTTGGGCTGAGCTGGCAGGGCTGGGAGAGGCAGCGGCAGCGGCAGCAGCAGCAGCAGCAACTGCATCTGCATCTCAGTGCAAGGCCCTGCTGGCTGGCCGCTGGGCCCCTGGGGCCAGAGTGGCGGGAGGGCACCGGTGGCAGACACAGCGCCAGGTCCCCGACCCCTCGGGGCTGCCGCTCGCTCTGCACCCCTGAAGTCCTTTCCCCTCTGGCCTCAGCGTCCCCATCTGCAAACAGTACAGAGGCCCCTTCTTTCTGAGTTTTGCTCCGTGCCTTAGGCATCAGGCGGACCACTCAGAGCCACCTCCTGTCCACGTGTGTAGCCTCAGGCCACCGTCCACTTCCCTGCTGGAGCCTCAGCTTCCCTCCTCTGTCACCAGTACCCAAAGTCCCTCCACAGTAAGGGTGTTGGAGGAGCACATAGAAACCTGCGTAAAGACAGCTCAGCACGGAATAAGTGGTCACAACTCGTCCTTTTCCACCGAGGGACGCAAAGGAGCATCTTATAAACCTGGGTGTCTGTGGTGCCAGGCTGAGTCTGCCTGCATACGTGCCGGAGCTGAGCCAGTGAGCGGCGGGCCAGTCTTCAGGCACAGCTGCTTCTGGCCTCGGCCCCTGCAACAGATGAGGAGAGTTTCAGCTGGGCAAAGAGGGAGCCTTCCTCCTGGAGACTGTCTTAGAGCTGATTCTAATCGCTTGTAGCTGTAATAATCAAAGAGGAAGCTCTTAAAATGGGGAATTGTGTGTCACAGTCGCTACAAAATAACCCTGGGCCCGGCGCCGAGGAAGGCAGCTCTCGGCGGCCGCCAGCACGGCAGCGGGTTGCTGGAAGCCTGTGGAGGGATCTCGCGTCTAAGCGCTTCCTGCACCGTGGGGCCAGCTGTTGCGGGTGATGGGCGAGAATTACTGGGCCTCGTGGAAGTCTGCAGAGGTGGACAAGGTACTCCAGGGAAGGTGTCGTCAAGACCAGGCTGGAATGGCCGAGGGACAGCTGAGGCAGAGCAGAGGGTTCAGGCACATCATGGCCACTGTCACTACCAGCTTCATGACCTCGGGAGTGTCCCTTGGTCTCTCTGGGCCTTGCTGATTTCACCCTGAGTAGGGCTAAATAAAGCCTTCAATACCCCAAGGTCAGGGAGGACCCGATAATGATTATAGCAGTATTAACATCAATAATACTAGCAGCTTCCACTTAAGGAGTGCTTGTCACGTGCCAAATTCTGTTCTAGGGACTTTCCAGGCACCCGCCTCATTCAGTCCTTACAACATCGCTATGAGATGGGCACAGTTATCCCCGTTTTACAGATAATGACACTGAGGACCAGACAAGTTGAGTAACTTGCCTGAGGTCACCCAGCCAGAAAATGGCTATCTCTCAGCTCCTAGGCCAGGGCTCACTCTCAGAGGCCTTCAGGGGCCAGGCTGCCACCAGAATGCCTGAAGCAGCTGTTCAGGGAACCCGAGCATGAGGAGTGGGATGGACTAAAGTAGTTCTGTGTCCCAAGGAGAAGGGGCCCGCGCTGGGCCCGGTAGGTCGTTGGGGGAGCTTGTGTCTTCTCCCGGGAGTGATGGAGGGCTGGGGGAGGTCTCTGTGACCTGAGAAGCCTTGCCAGGTTTCCTTCAGCGGCTGTGCTGAGAATAGATTGGAGGCATGGGGTGGGCTGAGCCGCAGCAGGGTGGCCCGGGAGGAGGGTGCCACAATGCAGGGCTGGTGGGGCCTAGAGTACCACGGTTGCCATGGCAACAGAGATGTGGGTGGATACCAGGAATGTGGAGGAGGCAGAATCAGTAGGTCTTTCTGCAATGGATGTCTACAGGTGCAGGGCTGGTCAGGTACCCCAGAGGAACTTGGAATGATCCCCCTGAGAGGGAGTTGGGGCATCTGCACCTGGGTCTGGCCTCACCCGGGCTTGAGTGAGTCTTGGGTGAGGCCATGGCTGATGGCCTGGCTCGAGGGAGCCAGAGGCAAGGCCTCTAGCTATGTGTCCTCAAAGGGCAGGTGGGCCTGTGACTGCAGCAGCCACAGGTGGGACAGTGACAGTGAGGGAGGAATACATCTCCAGATACACCTTGGGAATGAGGAGTGGGGAGATCCCCACAATACCAGGCACACGACAGGCCCTGACTCTGCCACATTCAACACCCACCCCCATCCTGGCTCAGCATTAGGAGATGGGGTGCTGAGTGTGGAGAGGGGCTGGAGGCCTTATCTGGTAGGAAACCAGAGTCTGGAGCAGAGGGTCTCGGGGAACTTTTTACTCCCCGCCAGTGTTTGTAAAGCGCTAGTGTGGCCCGTGGGTCTGGGGGCCCTGAAGGCAGAGCCAGGGCTCGCATGGCAGTCACAGGGAATCAGACCCTGGCTCCTGGTGGAGAAGAGCTTTGGCCAGTCCCAACTGCCTATGTAAGCTGAAGCTGGCCACCTCCCCCTCCGCCTGGCTGACCTTGTGAAGTGCCTTCCAGCCCTGCGATCCAGGGAGAGCCCAGAAGGGCAGAGCTAACCCTTCCTGCCGAGGAGGCGCAGGGGTCATTCCCTGAAAAACATCTTCGCGAGGAGGGAGCTGAGTCCCACATCCTCCAATTATGCTCCCATCCAGCCGGCCCACAATGGGCCACTCAGATAACCATCGGGGGCTGCACACATTAATGCTGGAACAATGCTGGCCGCGCGGGCTATTTTTACAGTAGCCGTACGCCCGGCTGAACCCCCACGTTGTCCCGAGGGAGCAGGGCAAAGAAAGGCCGTGTGGATGCCGCCGCCAGTCTGCGCTCCAGGAGACAGAGGAAGGGCTCCATGAGCCGCCCGCCCGGCGGCTCCAGGAAGCTTTTTCTTGGTCTGCTCGCCGACAGATAGCGAAACAATCGGGGTCCCCCACCCGAGCCAGGGAGAGGAGGGGGGTGCGGGGGATCTGGGGTCTGTTGTGCCTCTGCTCCTCAGAGCACAGCCCCTGTGGGCCTGGCTGCTGGGGCCAGGCCAGTGCGTCCCCTCTCCACACCCAGGTCCTCAGGCCTTCCCTGCCTCCTGCACCACCAAGGCTCAGAGGCCGAGCGAGTCGCCCACATCACGCAGTTGGTTTGTACTTAGCACCAGCTGCCTGCAGATTCCACCCTGGGAACCAGCTACCCAGCAGTTCTTTTCTGATGACCTACTGTGTGCCAGGCTCCGGGCACACAGCAGTGGACAAGACAGGTCCTTGTCCCCATGGAGCCCCTATTCTAGTTGAGGAGGAGACCCTTACCAAGGAAGCCAGGATACAAACAAGACGTTTTCAGTAGTGCCAAGCACTTTGACAGGACAGGCTCAGACGTCCGCTGGAACCTGGTGGCAGGCTGGCCCAAGTGTGCCCAAGTGACGGGGCTGCATCTGGTCCAGCTATTAGTTACCATAAGGTGTGTGAACCCAACGTGGCCTGGCCTCCCAATTTCTCTAGAAACCTTCTAGAGACCTAGGAATCTCGATTTTTCTCTGAAACCTGCTATTTCAGTGTTGGCCACCAATTTGGATGGTGACGAGAAACAAGTTATGTCCCAGGCTGCTTGGCTATGAGTCGGTCACCTTTGCCATCATCTTTTTTATTCTGTAGATGAGGAAACTGAGGCTCAGGAGGGGTGGTGAGCCCACTAGCTTTGGTTCCCCCAGCTCATCTGTCTTCTGTGGCCCTCCCCCACAAGGGGGTAAGTCCTCGAACGCACCCTCCCTCTGGGCCGGACTCATGGTGCTCCTGCCCTCACGGCCAAGCTCCCAGGGAGAGAGAGGACTCGGGGTCCTGGGGAAGCGCAGAAAGAGGGCTCTGCCCTGGCTCCTGGCAGAATTCCTCTGTGGTGGGGCCCAAGCAGGGCTGGGCCGGGGGTGACATGAGCAGCTCTGAGGGCTTAGAGATTTGACCTCCTCTGGGACCTCCCACTGCTGAACCCAACAGGAGTCAGAGGGCAAGGGGGCCTGGAGGATGTGGACTCACAGCAAGGCAGAGAGCAGCTGGAGCGGGGTGGACAAGTGGAGATTGATGGCACTCTTGCATAATGCTCACCGGTGAGAATCACGTTTTCTGTGCTGCAGAGGTGTGACTGTTTAATAAATTGCAAATATACTTCATAAACATCCATTTTTCATACTTTGATGGAAACCCCATTTTCAAATATTGTTTCCATTCCAGCCTGAAACCCCATTTTTCATTTATTTACATTGATCTGTTCTTTAAACAGTTAGAAACGAGCCCCTCCTGTGGGCCGGGCACTGGGCTGAATGAGTGAAATGGGAGCAGTCATTTTCTGTGCAAATCCGAAATCTGGAAATAGCATGTTAATTTCCAGAAACTGCAGGCAGGCTGTTATCTGCAAGGTGCCTTGGAATGGCCTGGGGAGTGTCGCGTTTTGTGAGAGAGGATGCCAGGCCAGGGTGGCTTCGTGCTTATCTGCCTGCAGGTGCAGGACGAGGTATGACATTCGGGGACAACAAACATGGGCCCCCGGTGCCGCTGTCAGCAGGTGCCTGGGGAATGGGACCCGTCCGTTCCTGAATCACGAGGTCCACGGTCGCCTAGAGGGAGTCCTACTCCCTCAGGATGTTGTCAGAGCAGTGGACAGACAGGGCGATGGCAGGGCCCCTGCCGCAGGCCTGGGCGGGTCAGAGCCGGCCCGAGGGTGAGGAGGAGGAGGCTGTGCTGAAGACACGTGGGCTCCCTATGACCTCACGGTGGGCTCTGCTTTGTCCCCCGTAGAGAGCAAGGAGATGGCCACCAAGGAGAAGCTGCAGTGTCTGAAAGACTTCCACAAGGACATCCTGAAGCCGTCGCCAGGGAAGAGCCCGGGCACGCGGCCTGAGGACGAGGCCGAGGGGAAGCCCCCACAGAGGGAGAAGTGGTCCAGCAAGATCGACTTTGTGCTCTCTGTGGCTGGCGGCTTCGTCGGCTTGGGCAACGTCTGGCGTTTCCCATACCTCTGCTACAAAAACGGTGGAGGTGAGCCCACGCTGGGCAGAGAGTGGCACTGGAGGAGAAAGTGGGGCCAGAGCGTGGGTGGCCCCTACCTAGACCTCCCCTGCATCAGCCTGCCATGCCCCGCCCCCGCCTCAGAGGCAGGGGGTGAGCATGACTGGGGATCAAGTGGTGTCCTGTCAGGGCCTTAATGTGTTACCTTGAGCAGATCCCTTACCCTCTCTGATCCTCCAGTTTGCCATCTCTGAATAGGGGTGACGAGGCCAGGCCTGTGTCTCCCAAACGTCAGCCCTTCATATGCTCCTTTGTAAATTGCCCATGTTTCTGTGCCTCTGACAATTTCTTACTTTATGTGTTCCCTTCCATTTGTTTTTACTTTACCAGTATCATTTACCATAATGGAAAGGTATCCAGGAAAGAAAAGTACAGTGAAGATATTTTTTTCCCAGTTTTGCTGAGGTATAATTGGCATATAAGACTGTAGTTGTTTCAGGTGTACGACATAAGGATGTAGTATTTGTATATATTGCTAAATGATCACCACTATAAGTTACTTAACATCTGTCACCTCCCTTAGTTACAAATTTTTTTTCTTCTAATGAGAACTTTTAAGATCTCTCTTAGCAGCTTTCAAATATACGACCCAGTGCTGTTAGCTGTGGTCGCCGTGCTGTACAGCACATCCCCAGGACTCATTTATCTTATAACCGGAAGTTGTCCCTTGTGACCCCCGTCCCCCATTGGAGGTAGTTTTTCAATGTAAGGTCCCTGTTTGTCTGGTTGGTTGGTTGGTTTGGGTTTCTGTTGTTTGTTTTACCTGCTGAAGCTCTGGGCGGGAATCCTCTCCTGTTGGAGATGTTCTCGACGGGCAGCACACCATGGCGAGTTGACGAGAACTGGCCAGGGGAGCTGCTTCCTCTCGTGACCGCCCCTCATCAGGGGCTTATGTGTCAGCAGAGACGGGCCTGCCGAGTGCCGCCCGAGTTAGGAGAACCACCGCTCGGGACGTCCCGCCTTAGAGCCTGGTTTCTTAACCTTTTGTAGGTGTCAGGCGCCTCTGGGACTCTGATGAGTGCCCTAGACACGCCCCAGAACAAAGCACTCACACATAGACCCAAGTTGCCCACAGTTTCACAGGGTTTATGGACCCGCTGAAGCCATTAGTGGACACCAGGTAGGACCCCTGCCTTGACTCTTTGCCCCTCGCTCCTCCCCTGGCTCCCACCCCCAGCTGGAGGTGCCCACCTCTCGCTTCTCATCACTGCACCCTCCCAGCTAGTTCTCCACCTCCTGGCCTGGGTGGGCGTGGGGAAGGGCAGGTGCAGGTGTCAAGGAGAGGTACATTTGAGATGAGTCTTAAGGGCTAACCAGTCCTTATTCAGATGGACAGACATGGGGAAGGCAGGCAGGCAGTCGGCACAGCTTAAATAAAGGCTTGCAGGCGTAAAGCACCTGGTAGATTGGAAGGTGAGAGGGCACCCTGGGAGGTGATGCCAGCCAGACAGATAGGCAGGGCCTGGAGAATTTTCAACCAGGTCCAAGAGTTTGGCCTTTACCCTCTGCATCCCTCACTCGCTCTTTGGGATTCCGCCAGCTGGGAGGGTTGGGCGTGAGCTCCTGCGGCCTCGCCCCACGACAGCCACAGCCTGACCCTCACCCCACTCTGCTCTCTCTGCAGGTGCATTTCTCATCCCGTATTTTATTTTCCTGTTTGGGGGCGGTCTGCCTGTGTTTTTCCTGGAGGTAATCATAGGCCAGTACACCTCTGAAGGGGGCATCACCTGCTGGGAAAAGATCTGCCCCTTGTTCTCTGGTGAGTATGGGGCAGAGGTCACCCGGGCCTGGTGTTCATCAATTCAGCCAGTTTTTGTGGAGTACCTACTATTTGCCAGGTACATTGGAGCCGGATGTGAGTCACTTGGCACTGTGCCTGACTCTAGGTAGCAGCCAGTACGTTATACACGTGACACCGCTGCTCACAGTAACTGCTCCACACGTGCCAGCTGTCCCGCCTCTCTGGGTTGTTGGAGGGTCGGTAAGCTGGCAGCTGCTTCGCAGCACAGTGCAGGAGACGAGCACTCGGGTTCAGGAGCCTTTCTGTCTGGGTTCGAGTCTCACTCCCTCCTCCTGCCAACTCTTGTGATTTTGCAAAAGTCACTTAATCTCTTTGTGCCTCAATTTCCTCATCCATAAAATGGAAATAACATGCTTACTCTGTAGGGTTGCTATGAAGAGAAAATGGCATAGCCATATAAAAGTGCTTTGTGCACATAGTAAGCCCCGAATTAACGGTAGCTTTATTACTATTATAACATTGTGTCCCATGCCTAGTACCGAGTATACACTCATAAGATAATACTGTTATGATTATAATTGGCAGGCATGGGAGGATGTGTGTCTATTCATTCAGTTATCTATATAAATCTATCCATCCATTAATCCTTTTTTCCATTAAACTAGTTAATAGTTAGACCATCCATCCATCCATTCATACTCATCTACTCATTCATCCATCCATCCATCTACCTAATCTCCCAACCAACCACCATCCCTACATCCATCTAACAAATCGAGTATCCATCCATCAATCCAGCACCCAAGCCTTCAGCTATCGGACCATCTAACCATCCATCCAACCAACCATCCATCTCTTTATCCATCCGTCAGCTATTCATTTATCTAACCATCCATTCATTGATCTAGCCCTCCTCCATACATCCTTCGATTCATCCAACTCTCCCATTTATCTAACCATCCATTCTTTCACCTCTCTATCCATCCAATCATCCATTCATCCTGCAAATATTTGCTGCTCACTATTGAAGGGTCCCTTCTGGTCCCAGGCCTAGAGACGCCAGGGCCTTGCAGATGAGTTTGTGGCCATGGTAGGGCTGGCCTCCCTCCTGATGCTCCCCTTGCTTGCTCATCCCTGCAGGCATCGGCTATGCCTCCATCGTGATCGTGTCCCTCCTGAATATATACTACATTGTCATCCTGGCCTGGGCCACATACTACCTGTTCCAGTCCTTCCAGTCGGAGCTGCCCTGGGCGCACTGCAACCACAGCTGGAACACGCCCCAGTGCCTGGAGGACACTTTGCGCAAGAACAAGAGCCTGTGGGACAGCCTCAACACCAGCAACTTCACCTCCCCTGTCACCGAGTTCTGGGAGTAAGGCCGGCCTCACTGAAGGAAGGAGGGGAGGGCGTGGGGTGGGTGCAAAGAGGACAGCCAGCTCCCTCATCTTCTCCCCAGGGGAGTGGGAGCAACTATCTTGGGTTCGGTGGAAGGAGGGTACAGATTTGGAGATAAATCCATGCCTTTGGTCTCCGACAGGCCTGGAGTCAAATCCCACTTCTACCATTTTACTGACTGTTGGACCTTCAGCCAGTCACTGCCCCTTTCTGAGCCTCAGTTTCTTTAACTGTCAAACGAGGGGAATGAATCGTCCCTACACCCATGGGATCTCTGTAGGCACTGTTTCCCAAAGGCAGGTATATGTACTTATGGTGTCTGAAAATGATGTATATTAGGAAAAAGATAGTGAGCACATCAAAGCTGTTATTGCCCAGAGAAGAACGCACACGTGAAGCCGAGGTAGTTACTCAAGTGAAAGGGTGAGTAGACACAGTGAAAATACGTATCAGTTAGCTTTTGCTGTGTAACAACCACCCCAGACTTTAACCAGCGACCATTTATTTGGCTCATGGTTCTGCTGGTGGCAGTTTGGGCTGAGCTTGGCTGGGCAGTTCTTCTGGTCTGTGCTGGGCTCCCTCACGGGTAGCTCAGATGTAGGGCATCAGGGCAGCTCCTCTGGCGGTTGGCTGGCTGGTGGCTGGGGTGCCAGGGGAAACTGGTCCCAATTAGTCCAGCAGGCTAGCCTGGGCTTGTTCATCGTGGCTCAGCATTCCAGAAACAACCAGTGGGAATGCCCCAATTCAGGAGCACTTTTCAAGCCTCTGCTTGAGTCATTTTTGTTAACGTCCCATTGGCCAGAGAAAGCCACCAGACCAACCTAGGTTCAAGAGCTGGGGAAATACGCTCTGTGTCTTTATGAGAAGAGTGGAGAATTAGGGGCATTTTCACAGTGTACCACAGTACAGTCAATAACTACAGGAGTATACACAGAGGACAGACATCAGAAAGGCAGAATATGGAGACCTGAAGGCGGGGAATTCTTAGCTGGCGTACAGGGAAGTCCTTCGAACACAGTGCTTGGGGACCGACCAAAAATGTATTAGTGCCTCACTTCCCTTCGCTCCGTGAGCTGTCAGATGTGGGGCTCCGCACTTGGGTGCGGCCCCTCAGCCTGGAAAGAACTGAGGGAAGGCCTTGCGTGGGGGCCGAGAGCCAGGGGCGGGGACAGAGTTAAGGAAGGGGGTGATCCCTCGTCATCACGAGATGATGCCCCCTCTCTTTTGTGTGTGACTTTGCTGTTTCCAGGTGTCCCCCACCTCTCTGAACCTGGCGCAGGAGCAGGCCCGCAGAAGAGGGGGCTGCCCGCTGACTGGCCCCAGCCAGACTTCAGGGCCGGGGCTGGGACACTGTGGGCGAGCAAGGCTCAGTCGGCCCTCACTCGCGTGGTGCATGTCTCCATCATGACATGCGGGCCTTCCGTGTGTGCTCACGGGTCCCTAGGGCTTGTGGACGTGTTTTCCACTTGCAGACAAAGAGGCGTTACAAGCACGTTCATCCTCCTCAGCTTCCCCCTCTGGAGAGCTGAGTTTACAGAGAAAGAAATGCAAGCGCTTCATTCTTTGCTTGAATGGAGCCCGAGGCCACAGCCCTGCTCGTCCTCTGCTGTTCCTGGCACAGCCTCGCCGCCCGGGGCCCACCCCACCCGGGACACTGGCACTCAGCCGGCCACATGGGTGCCGGCCGGGGCCTCATTGCCTCGGGCGTGGCCTGGCTGCCTGGATTCGAACCCTCGCTCTGCCACTTCTAGCTCAGGCAGGTGCCTTTCCCTCTCTGGGCCTCACTGTCCTCACCTGGACTTCAGGGCACTGTCCTTAGGGTTGTAGAGCCGCCTAAACTGAATGAGATCGTGAATGGCCAGCCCTGAGAACCTGCTTGATAAAGGTGGGCCATTGTTTATTTGATATCCTCATAGTGGGTACAACTGCTCCCCTCAGGCATTTGGAACTCAAGTGACACGACCTCCAGAGAGACTGAGAACGGCCCCTTCTCAAATGCCCGTGTGGCCCCCCTGTTGCATAGGGGCTGTCCTCCGCTCCGCTCCCTGCTCTCGGAGGCCCGAGGGCTCCTGAGGAGGAGTTCACAGGAGTGATGAGGTCCTCAGGGTGTCAGTCCTCACCCGTGCCCTCTCCCCTGCCCGTCCCCCAGACTGGGCTCTCCTGGGGGGTCCTGGGTGCCCCCCTTCCGGAACCCCTATTCTGAGTGCCCCAGCTCCCTTTCCTGGCCCAGAAGACATTAACAGTGTTTGTCTTCAGAAATGTCCTGCCCTGCAGGCACCTGCCCAGGCCCCACACGATGCAGGTGGACTTGCTCAGTCCATGGAGTATGAGCCGCTGGCCTGATGCTCACCTCCCGCTCCAACCTTCACACCGCCTCCCCCAGCTTCTAGCAGAGCTTTGTGAGTCCATCCAAACACCCACAAAGAACTTGCCTCCTTTCTAGAGCCCTGGGGAGGAACAGGGATCACAGAGGGGGAGCCTGGAAAGCAGAGAGGAGCTGTGTGAGCAGAGAGGTTCAGGCCAACGAGCTGGGCTGGGGGCCTTGGCTCAGTGCAGCCCTGCAGCCTCCTGCCTTCCAGAGCCTTCCCTTCTCTTGGGCATGAAAGAGAGGGAAGGAGACAGAACTAATGTGGAATCACAGACTCCCATGAGCTTCATGCCGGGGACCCGCCCCTGTCCTTTCATTTCGTCTTTGCAGAGGCCCGTTAAGTAGGGAAAATCTCTCAGAATCATCCCAACTCCTTTCTACCCCGAATCCCACACGCGGTTCACACATCCTCCTGGCTCTCCCTTTCAAGTATGTCCCGAGTCGGGCCACCCTCCCACTTGCCCTGAACCCTCCCCGCTGGAGGCCCCCAGCGTCACTCTCCCAGACCCCAGCACTGCCTTCCACTGCTCTCCCGGCCGGGCTTGCATCTCTGCCATCAGCTGTGAATCCCAGCGTGTCAGTTCTCAGCTCAGAGCCCTCTCCTGGCTCCTCCCTTCCTACCATCTCTCCCAGCAGAGAAGTAAGTGCTCACTGACTGCCGATTCTTATTAATTCCATGTCTGCATCCACTTGGCTGTGTAGCCTGGAGCAGCAAGTCAGTATGCCTCTCTGGCCTTATTTCCCATCTGCACGTGGAGGGGCCAGATGAGCTGGGCTTTAAGGGATGAGTAGGTGCTCACTAGGCTGAAAAGGAGAGAGAAAAGACATTCTGGGCAGAAGGAATGGCCCACACAGGGGCATGGCATTCTGAAAGTACATGAGCATTTGGGAACAGCAAGTTGTTGGTTTGGCTAGAGCACAGGATGCGTGAGGCCAGGAGAAGGATTGAGGCCTCGAATGTTAGGCTGAAAATCTGCGCTTTGTTCTCTGGGACGGGGAGCCATAGCAGGCGTACGAGAAGGAGAGAGATGTGATTGAGTGTGTGTCTTCTGGACATTGTTCAAGGAACACACTGGTGGGGAAGGCTGGGACATGTGTTAGGTGCCAACTATACAGAGGGCCTCTGAGGGCTCGGCCATCAGTGAGTTTGGGTTTCCTTTGGGGTCAAACTTAGCTTATCTGATTTCCCCTGAAAATTGCCACCAGCCCCACAGGGACTTGCTCCGGGGTTTCCCTGGGGGAGCCTTGCTGGGATGTTATGGGGGTGTCACGGGCTGGTACCCGGTTGGGCTGCAGAGCAGTGAGGATCCTCTCAAAGGCTGGTCTCCACTCCCCTGGAGCCAGAGCCCAGCCCCAGCTACTGTTTCCCTTCGCCCCCCTTCCCTGAAGACGCGGCAGCGCTCCTGGGAACCAGTGCTCCAGGGGAGCCAGGACCTCTTCCTGGCCCCGGGTGGGGAAGGGCCTTTAGATGGTCCCCGCCAGGCCCTGTCCCGCCCCAGTTTTACAAGGGGAGGTAGCGGAGAGCAGTGGGTGATGCTCTTGTCCCTCAGGGCAGGGAGGCTGACTCTGGCTCCCGCAAGTCCAGCTGATGACCTCGGGGCGGTCACCTTACTTCTCAGACCTCAGAGAGAGCCTGGTCTCAGCGCCTCACAGCCAGCTTGCTCGAGTGTTAAAGAGCTAAAACAAGTGATGTGCTGGGCACAGGGCCTCTGGGTGTGGCTTTCAGTAGGACACTGAGGACTAGAGAGGTTAAGTGACTTGCCCAAGGTCACATAGGCAGCTAGATGTAGCAGAGTTTGCAGCCTGGACCTCTGACACAGGACACCACCTCCAGTGCCTGTGTCCCCACCAGCTGTAAGTCCAGGCAAGTCCACGGTCACAGGTCACGTTTGGCCGTGTCTGTGCAACCCCATTCTCCTCTCTTCTCTTGGCCTGGACCCCCCACGCCCACCCCATCTGCAAGGCTAAAGCTCTGTTCTCAGCAGGAGCTGGTGAGACGCCCTTCTCCAGATCCCTGTGAAAGCCACCTGCACCCTGGGGACAGTCATTCACGCTGCCTTTATAATTTAACTCTGAGTCACTCTGGGATGGAGAAGCAGAGCTTCTGCCCCCGGTCAACCTCATCCCGTTTGTCCCTGCTCTGGGGTCACCTTTGTCCCCAGGGTCGTGCTTCACCTCTGGCCCTGAAAGACAGGTGGGGCCAGATCTGGCCAAATGCCCTCCATTAGGCTGGGGCTGTTCCTTCCTCCCTGGTCCCCCAGAGCCCCCGGGAGCTCAGCACGTATCATTAGACTTTATTAGAATCAAAGAAATGAGTCATATTTGCAAACAAGTGCTGCTCAGCCAATCTCGCCCTGCAGCTGCGGGAAGAGGGGGGCGGTGGAGAAAGCCCCGTGCAGCCCTCGGTGCAGGGCGGATGGGCTCTTTATAATTGTTGCCTCCGCCAGTCTCCAGGGAGGAGCCATCGCCAATAAATGGCTGGCCGGCAGTCAAAAGGAAACGATTTGGCCCACTCGGAGGACGTATTTACATCTCTGAGTGCCGGCTGGACGGCAGTGCGGCGGCCGACTCCAAACAGACGTCCAGGCGATTCTTTTTTAGATCCCACCCTCGGATGAATCATTACTATTCTTGGACAGGAATGCAGCTCACCTCTGGGTCCCCTCCCGCTCTGTGCAAGATGCAGGGAGGCCTGGGGTGCTGGGGCCCTCGCGAAGGGCAGTAGAGGACCCGGCACACGGGGGGCTGGTCCCCAGGGTGGCATCGGAACAAAGGAACCAGGCCCATGGTTGATCTTTATCTGGGTAATTTCAGGTGAATTCCCGAACCCCTCTGAGCTTCAGTTTCCCCATCCACCAAATGAGTCTAATTAATTTACTCAACTGATGTCTGTTGAACACCTACTGTGTGCCGGGCCCTGTTCTGGATCCAGCAGTGATCAGGACAGACACAGGCCCTGCCTCCATGGAGATGACATTCTAGTAGGACAGACAGACATTAAGCAGAAAACACAAATAAAATGGTAATATGAAAGTGATGATAAGTGATGAAAAGTAAAGCCGGGGCAGGGGGAGGGGAAGGACCAGGGCTGCTCTTTCCATAGGGCGGCCAGGGAAGGCTGCCCTGCTGAAGTGGCATTTGAACAGAGATCTGAAAGGGCAGAGGGGGCATGTCCTGTGATGAGCGGCCAAGGGAACAGTGGGTTCGAAGATTCCGAGGCAGCAGCATGCTCTGCCTATTCAGGGAACATACGAGAAGCCACTGTGGCTAAACGAGGAAATGAAGGGGCCTTATGGGGCATGAGGTTCAAGAGAGGGCCCCATCCATGCAGCTTGGCCTGGACACGTCCCATTTACACCTGTGGGCCCAGCTCCACCTCACCCTGTGGGGTGTGGGTCTGAATGGTGAGCGTTGCTCACCCTATTCAGGGAGGCAAAAAGGAATGGGGCAGGTCCGGACGGCCTTTTTGGCCAGGTAGGTGGGAGCCATAGGGAGATGTGGAACAGAGTAAGGATGCAACCAGACTTCGGTATTGACAGATTCTCTCTTGATGAGAACAGAATGGGGGTGAGAGTGGAGGCGGGAACACGAATGCGGAGGCTGCTGTAATAGCCCTGAGAAGCGAGGGCCCAGACAGGGGCTTACAGTGTTGGGGAGATGTGGCCAGATTTCGGGGAACTTGTGCAGTCTCCTGGGGCGATTAGGAGGCACTGATGAGCAGCGGTGCACCATGGTAGTCTCTCTGGGGCACAGCACTCTACAGTTTCCTGAACACACACATGCACCATGGTGGGGAGGCCCTCTGGGGAGGTCTGCTGCTTTGTGGCTGGCTGAGGCCGTGAGAGTCTGATTGGGGGGCGCTTGTGGAGGGTCCTTCAAACTGGGTCCCTTCAAAAAGGGATTCAGACGGCCCCCGTGCTCTCCAGCCTCCAAGGCCACCCCTGAGATATCTTTGGAAAGGACGTCGGTCACTTTGGCCCAGAGCCCACATCAGGCTCTGTTATGACAACCCTTGATTGGTGAGACATTCATTCCATTCCTAGAATGTCTGCGTGGCCCATTATAAACATTTTTAAGGATTTAAAATAATTTTTATAAAGGTGATATGTGCACATTAAAAACCTTCAAGTAGGAAAAAAATATATTCAATGCCAAGCGAGTCCCCTTCTGCATCCCAACTGCCGGGTCCCCCACAGGCGGCGACTGCTGCCCGCATCTGTGTGTCCTGCCAGAAGTGGTGTGTGCGCATTCATGTTCAAGCACAGACTTGCCCCGCCCTCCTCTGCGCACAGTAGGGAGCCTGCCTGCCTGCTGCGTGCTGTCCTTCACCTCGCTCAGTTCATTTACGTCACGTCCAGGAAATACCTCCTTGTCCCTTCACGGGAGCTTTCCCACTGTCTCGTGGGCTCCGTAGCATCCCGCCGTGTTTCTTCTCTGTGCCTGCTGAACCCCTGTTCACGGCCTTTTGGGGGATTTCCAATCTTGTGCTCCTGCAGGCGTGGCGGTGATGAACAGCCTGGGGGGGAGCCGATCCTTGGCCACACGTGCAAATGTAATTGTAGGAGAGGGTCTCAGGAGTGGAGTTGCTGGGTCAAAGCAAACAGGCCTGGAGGCACTATGAGCTCCCACGAGGGGACTGCCACCGGCAAGGGACAGGCACGTGTATGACTCGGTTTCCTTTTGTGGCCCCCGTGACTGGTCAGCTGACCAGAGCAAGCCAGCGTGACAGCCCCTGCCCGAAGCAGGCACGGGGTGGGGAGAAGGCAGAAAGAGCATCCGTGAGCTGGCTGTGGGCTCGGCAGGGGACGCTGGGCCCTGGGCTTCCAGCTTCTCAGCCAACTTGCCCTTAAGGATAAAAGAAAAGGCTGTCTTATGACTGGGTCCCTCCTTAGCATTAGCTGAGCACCTACTGTGTGCCTGCCTGTGAGATCCTTGTCCTTGGAAGTCTAGTGTCTGGTGAGCAAGACAGCCTTTGCATGTGAGTGTGGCGTCCAGTGTGAGAGGACAGACAGGGTCTACAGTCGGTCGTCTGCAGAGCCTCGGGGGAGGCTGCTCTGGGGCACGAGGAGGGCGGGCCTGGCGGTGGGGAGGCTATAAACTGTGGCGGTGGACCAGTGGCCCCACCACTGCCACTCACAGGGAAGCCTTGGCCGCCGCCCAGCGTGCCCCGGGCCCTCAATGGAGGCTGCACAGGGACAGGCTTCTTGTTCTAAAGCTGCTGCAGCCGCCAGATCCGCGTGCTTGGCAGGGCCCCAGCCGGGATGTGCTGGGCTCACAGGCTGCCCGTGGGGATGCCCCCTCGTCCCGAGGCTCCAGTTGGCCCCGGATGCTGTTTTAAAGTTTAGCCTTCAGTTTCTCTGTTAATTAGGGTGGTGGAGTCGAGAGAGCACTGGCTCTTGGAGTCAGACAGGCCTAGGTGTGAGGTGGCACCTGTCCCTAGAGTCAGACAGGCCTGGGTGCGAGGTGGCAGCCCTGCTGCCTGCTGGCTGTGTGTCTGTGGGCAATTGCATCCTCCAAGCTTTGGTTTCCCCATCTGTAAAACGGGGCAAATGACCTCTAGTCTTTGGACCAGACGCGATGAATTGAAAAGGCCTCGTTGATGGTATCCTGAGCACATTGTCCTAGGTGCCAGGGCGGAGCCATTGATGTCACAGTGAGGAGACAAAGGAAGCTGCCTCTTCTTAAGGTTTGTTAGTGGAAAGAGTTCGTGGATTGGTCCCGAGTGACATGCGAACCTCGTTCACCCCAGTTGAGTCCTTTCATTCATTCACTCAGCAAGTACTTATGGAGGTCCTGCCGTGAACTGTGAGCTCTTCTGGGTGCTGGGAGCACAGCAGTGAACCACAGAAGGGCCTCGCAGGAATGCCAGTGGAGATGGGAATCTTGGATTCACTCAGGGTCCTCCTGTTGGAGCTTCCCTGGGAAAAAGGAAAGCCGTGAACAGCGTCCTGGCCCCGTGGCACCCCGAGAGCCGGAGCCGGGTCATCCGCCTGACAGGCTGACTAGGATGGTCTGGAATGGTTTCCCCAGCAGTATCCCGGGGCAGGAGCTGGGATTCGTGTTTTAGCGAAGAGGAAACTGAGGCACAAAGTCACCCACCCCTCTCTGCCTCTCCTGCTCGAGAGTGTGGCCGTCAGACAGGGAGCTGACTTTGGTTAGAAGGAGCCCAGCTTCTTCCAGGGGAGCACGAGCCCCCGTCTCCTTAACTTCGGTGGGCAGGTAACCCCAGTGGATAGTGGGCAGGGCGATGTCCCTGTGCTCGGCCTGGTTACCCTTGGTCACTGTCACAGCAGTCGAAGCTCTGGGACAATGGGGACAGTTTCTGGGCATCATGTTTCGCGGTCTCCTTGGCCGTCCGCACCCTGTGCTGCCCTGCCCTGGCTGCGATGGCTTCTGCCCCTCAGGGACGTGTCTGTGAGGAGGTGCATCTTCCTCTGGTCAGCAGGGTCCAGGCTCTGCCAGGTGGTGCAAGGCAGGTGGCTGGTCGCCCTGACTGTCCTTCACCGCATCTGCTCTTCACGACTCTGGCGGGGCGGGAGGACGAAACTAGCCCTGCTTAGGTGCCAGGAGCTGCTCTGCTGTGTCAGCACCGTGGCGGGGACAACTGCTGAGGCCCACAGAGTGTGGGCTTCAGCCCAGACCCTGTGCTTCGTGGGGGTTTTCTCCCCAGCGCACCCCTGTAAAGAGGTGAGCTGTTCTACAGCCACAGACAGAACAGCCGCTGTGCCCCCCTGAGGCTTACGCTTTAGTGAGAAGTCCAGACCAGAAACAGGTGGATAAAATAAGAGATGGGACAGAGAACACTGAGGGAGGATAGTTATTCTCATGTCATAGATGGGGAGGCTGAGGTCCGGGAGGCTGGGTGACAAGCCCAGAGTCAGTGGCTACGGGGTGGAGCTGAGTTTGAACCGGTGTTTGGCCCACACTGGATGCTGGAGGGTCTGCTAAGAATCCATCACCTGGGAATCAGTACCCATTTTACAGATGAAGAAACTGAGGCTTGCCCAAGGCCAGGCTGGGTGGACCCAGGTTCACCCAGGGACTTAGGAGTCCGAGTCCTTCTTGGTTTCCCCACAACTCTGTGACACGAGTGTTAACTATTTCCCAAGACCAACGGGGGTTGTGGGGCTGGGAGAGGCAAGGTGACTTGTGCGCACCTGAGCCAGGGCTCGCCCCCCCAGCCTGAGTCCCAGCCTCGGCTCTCCCTGCCCCGGGCGGGACCCCCACTGACTTGTGGCTCTGTTTGCTCGAAGGCGCAACGTGCTCAGCTTGTCCTCTGGAATTGACGACCCGGGCTCTCTGAAGTGGGACCTTGCTCTCTGTCTTCTCTTCGTCTGGCTGATCTGTTTCTTCTGCATCTGGAAGGGCGTCAAGTCCACGGGGAAAGTGAGTTGTGCTCTGCCCCTACCCGGCTTCTTGGGGACTCTGCCACCCCACAGGCCTTCCTGCTGGAAACCAGCTCCAGCCTGGGAGGGAGAGTGCGCTGGCAGTCCAGTCCTGCGAAAGAAAATAAAGCCCTGGTTTGTAGCATTTGCCCTTTTCATGGTCCAGATACTCCCACCATGTCTGACTTCAGGTTACTGATAGTTTAACAACCAGTTCACAAAATTCCTGAAAATTGAACAGCCAGCCCTCTGGAGCCTGCACAGGCTCCCACGAGCCACTGGTTCCCAAATATCAAGGAGGTGGCCACAATGCAGATGCTAGCAGATGCCTGACATGGGAGTTGGAACTGACAAGGTAGCTGGTAACAAGGTGAGCCAGCAAGTTGTTGTTAATTACCAGCTGCCGAGTGCCCCTGACCTGCAGCCTGAGCGTCCCCTGGGAGCTCCTTAGACGTGCAGACCCGTGGGCCGCCCAGACTGCAGAATCAGAATCGCACTGAACAGAGAGTCCAGTGCACGGTGAGGCTTGGGAAGCGCAGACTACGCCAGGTTAACGGAATTATCTTACAGCTAGCATCGGCTGGTGACTAAGGTGTTGGTTATTGAGGAAAGCTGCCATGGAGGAAGTTATTTGCTGATAACCAAGATGTTAGTTGTTAACCAAAGTGTTAGCCGTAGCTGAAGTATTTGCTCTGATTAATATGTTACACAAAGACTTAGATGTTAGCTATTAACAAAGGTGGTGGCTGATAATTAAAATGTTAGCTTATAATTAAAGTTTTAGGTATAACTGACATATTGGTAATAATGAAAATATTAGCCTATAACTAAAATATTATCTAACAGAGCCGAACATTTACCCGATAACTGACACTGGCTGGTGTCGTGGTCATTCTGATGACACAGGTCCGTGCAGAGGGCTCTGACCAGGGGTGTGAGCCTGACCCCAAGGCACTAAGCCAGGTTCCCCTGTCTGTCATTGCCTCCTGTCATTCCATCTCTGTAGGGGGAAAGCTCTGTAAGATCAAAAAGCCCACAAGGCTCAAAAGATTATGTGAAGCTGGCATTTGAGGTCCAGCGATGGGCAGTGGGTGGAATCGTTCCGAAGAGGAGCCTTTGCAGCACTGACCACATAATTGACTATAAAATGAAGGGCTGTGTTCTCCCAAGAGGCAGGCCCGCTTAGGCAAAATCGTGGATCTGAACAGGTCCCAGCAGTCACTCCAGGCACCTGCTCGGCCAGGTCTGGGACCCCAGGGTTGTGGAGGCAGAGTGGGAACCATCCCAGAGTGGGGGCCTGCACCCACCCCCCGTGCCCTCTGCCTACAATCCTAAAACCCAGTACGGAAAGGAAGCAGGCCAGGCTTCGGAAGCCTCCACACGCACGCCCACCTCATGTCATCCCGGGGCAGGCGGGAGGAGGGAGCCCTCGTCCGCCTGTGTGGTCGCCTTTCCCCTCCAGCTTGTCAGTGAGCAAACCCGTTCATTGCCTTTCCTTAGGCGGTGAGGGCACCGAGCTGGGAGAGGTTAAGTGACTTGTCCAAGGTCACTCCCTTGCCTCTGAGCCTCAGTTGCCTCATCTAGAAAACGGTCGTAGTGAGGCTTACAACCCGGTGGGCTGGGCCCCCTGCAGTGCCTGGCACAAGCGTGCAGCAGGCGCCAGGCCCCCCTCCCTCTGCGCCCAGTCCCCATGTGGAGGCGCGGCCAGTAGGATGCTGCTCTGGAGCGCATCGGAGCTGCGCCGGAACCCTGGGCGTGGACCTGTGCACTCCTGTGTTCTGGGCCGCTCCTGTCTGCCGGGTGCTGCTGCTGCAGGATGGGCCGGTGGACGTGCAGGGGTCCATAGAGCAGACAAAGCTCCCTGTGTCCAGGGGCTGACAGATTTGTTGGTTGCAGCAAGGTGAATGTAGAATGCACAGGAGCCATGGGAGAGAGTAACGGGTGAAGGCACAGGGAGTGGTGGGATGCGGTTTTAAATAGGGGGGCCCGGCAAGGCCCACGGAGAAGGGGGCTTCGGGGCAGAGATCTGAAGGAAGTGAGGGGCTGAGCCATGTGGACATCTGGAGGGGGGAGAACTGCTGGTGCAAAGGCCCTGAGGTGTGTGTGGCCAGACCCTCGCGGAGCCCCCAGTCTGATGGAGGAAGCTGATGTCTACCAGGGACAGTGAGCAACACTGAGACACCATGGAGGGGTCAGGGGAAGAGAGTGAAAGCCAGTAGAGGGTGCGAGGCCACGACTGTGAAGACGTGACTCTCCAGGAGTCCCCCTACCCCACCCCTAGAGACAACTGCCTCCTCGGGCGGGCGGCTCCAGGCCCCTGAGGGGCAGGCGTGGTTCCCAGAACAATAGCCGGGCCTGGGCCAGCCCCGAGAAGCCAAGACAAACACGGCTCTGCGGACTTCCTCGAGCGCCGAGCCGCAGCCGAAGGTGGCTTCCAGCCCTGGCTGCAGACCAGGCGCACGGCCCCCTGGGGGCTGAGCCGCCTCCTGGCCACACTGGTTCAGCGGGAGTGGGTGGAGGGGCTCAGGACCTCAGGACCCGAGTGCAAGTCACTTAGCCTCTCTGAATCTCAGTTCCTTTTTTTGTAATTTTCAGCCCTCCAAGGATCTGAAACTTGGCCCAGAATGTGCTGCGGCTTAACTCATTCAAAACAGAGTGATAAAGGCTGCGACAGTGCGTAGCACGAGCCTGCCAGGCACTGTTCTCAGTGGGGCACGAGGCAGGCAAGTCCCTGCTCTCACAGCATATGAGGTCCAGGAAGGTGACGGAAGTCCAGACCCTCACACAGGAAGGACAGCCCTGAGGACCCAAAGGGAGCACAGTCCTGGATGGGCACAGCCACGTCCTGAGGCTGTGCCTCCCGCCACAAGCCTCTGGGCAGCTCCTTTCGTCCCGTCTCAGACACAAAGCAGAGGGGCAGTCAGAGCCAGATTTGGTTTGGATCTCAGCTCTATCCCTCAAGCTGCGTGACTTTGGGCAGTTCTCTTTCCCTCTCTGAGCCTCAGTTTCCCCTTGTGTGAAATGAGTCAGCAAAGCCCCCACTCATGCAGGAGTGCTGTGAGGACCCTGGGGCCTGCCCAGGTATTGGGCACAGACCCGTGGCCCCACATCTCAGAGCCTCCGTCTCCGGGATGAGTGACCCCTGCTGCCCAGGCTCTCACCCCCGAAGGAAGCTGGGGGCTGCAGAAAACCAGCCCAGTCTCTCCCCCCTTGCAGGCCACCCTCTCCCCACTGTCCCTAGGGAATGAGGGACAGTGAGTTTCCAGGGCATTCAGACCACAGGGCTTTTGGGTCGAGGGCTCAGAGGAGCCACGGAGGTTCACCAGCAGGAGTGGAAAAATACCACGTCCTGTGGCGAGGCCTTCGGGGCCATTGCCAGAGGCCCACGGCGGCGGCTGGCACCAGCCTCTCCTGCGAGGATCCCGGGGGAGTCATAGGAAAGTTGAGAGAATGGCTCTCAGGGGCTTGTCCTTAGAGTGGCAAATTCAGCAAAACAAGGGCAGCTTTCCAAAGGTGGCTGAGGTGGTGGGACCAGGTGGGGCCGTCCTACTCTGGATTTGAAGAGGAACGACGTAACACACAAAAGACACAGGACCCTGGAGCCAGCTGGCCTAGATCAGATCCCACCTCTGCCACCTCCTAGCTCTGTGATCCTAGCAGGTGCGTCACCTCTCTGGGCCTCAGTTTCCTTGTCTAGAAGATGTAGTTAATAATGATCCCTACCCCTCGAAGTTGCTGTGAGGATTAGATGGATTAAAGCGCGTACAGCTCTCAGCATAGTGCCTGGCACATGGGAAGGGCTCCGTAACTATTTGCTAAGTAAATTAAATATGTGGAAACAAGGGACGCCACCCCCATCCCTGGGTGGTGTCCTGTGTCCCTGACACAAAGCCCTCTGGCCACAGTCCGCTTGCCCGCCCAGTGGGGCCCAGCAGCTTTGAAGTGGCTGCCCTCTGGGGCCGGCCTGCTGTCAGCAGCTATTGTTCACCAGCCCGGGCGTGGCTCATGGCAGGGCCCAGAGGTGGGAACCTGGGGGGGCCTGTCTGCAGGAAGGGAGGAGCAGCCTGGGGGCTCGCTGGCTTTCTTCTTTCACCCCTTCTCTGGCTTCCTGAACTGCCCCCACCCACCACGTTGTCTAACTTATTGTCCTTGGGAAGTTGTGAGGTTCTCAGCCTCGGGAGGAGGAAATAAGATTGGCTGGGGAAACTGAGGCCCAGAAGGAAGAAGGGTGTCCTGGGAGGTGGCAGAGGCTGGATATGAGCCCCAGTCCCCCAGCTGACCCTCTTGGCCACTCCACCCTGTCCCCCAGGGGTGGCAGAGCTGGAGAGAGCCTCAGAGCTCATCGGGCTCCAGGACCCCCCTTCACAGGTCGGGGGAGTGAAGCCCAGAGAGGGGCAGTAACTTGCCCAAGGTTTCACAGCGAGCCAATCACGGAGCTGGAATTCTGACCCGACTCCCCTCCCTCGGGTTGTTGGAGGACTGAATAAACTGCCCACAGTGCAGGCCTGTTAGCGCCCTGCTCTTGTCACCTGGAGACAGGCTCCGGGCGTGCCTCTGCTGTGTGACCCTGGGAAAGCAATGGGCTGTCTCTAGGCCTCGCCTTCCTTGCCTTCAAAATGAGGATAGTAATAAAACCTACCTCGAAGGGCTAGGGCAGAACCAAGTGAGTATAGAAGTGCAGACCTCGGAATGGCGCCAGGCACACAGTAAGCGCTCAATAAATGCTGGTTGGTGGTATTGACTGAGGGCAGCTGAGCCAGGCAGGCCCTGAGAGCTTTCTTGCCTGTTTCCAAAGCCCCTTTCTAGCTATTTCTACTCAAAGGGATGGTGGCTACCCGAGAATTCTGTTCCGGCGATGGCTCCTAGGCCAGCCAGGCGAGGTCCGGGGCTCCGTCACCCCCGTCAGTGTGTGTTACCTACCTGCACTGCCCCCCTGCACGTGGACACATCACCCTGCTCTCTGGGTCTCGGTGTCCTTGCCTGTAAATGGGCGCGTTGCCCGTGTAGCGGGTCCTCCCTGGTCCCCTGGGTGCTGCGAGCCTGTCTCAGCATTTCAGGCTGCCACCATGAGCGTTCTGCGCGTCCTGCGCGTTCTGTGCGTCCTGCGCGTTCTGTACTGGGAGCATGAGGACACCCCGCGCCTTGGCTCAGAGTGAGGTGGTCACCCCTCCAGGGCTCTGTAGGGGACCTGGGTGTGTCCTCAAACCCCGCTGCGCCTCAGACCTCCTCTGTCGACAGGGCGGCCCGCGCACCGATTTTGGGTGTGGTGAGCATGAGGTGGGCTTGTGGCTGGGGAGTCCCTGCTCGGCTGTGCCTGCTGGAGACGGCAGGACGTCGCCGTCCGTTCAGCCAGGCCCCTCGAGCTCCTCGCAGGGGCGAACCTTGCCTGGAAACTTCTCGTATTAAAGAATAAGACAGGAAAACCCGTCCCGGAGAACCGTGTTTGGAGACCAGTGCTCTCAGGACTAGGGAAGGAGAGAAAGTGGGGCAGGCCCTTGGGAATGGAAGGGCCCAGCCTGGGTTGTCGCTGGTCCCCACCTCTCGTTGACCTTGGCCTGTCTGGGACGTGCTATGTGACTCAAGGAAGGCTGAGGGCCTCCCACAGCCCCAAGGAAGTGAACGGCCTTCCCCGTCCTGGCTGAGGGATTTTGAGAGGCCTCGTTTCCTTCCCAGGAGTTCCCATGAGCTTCCTGCAAAGTCACTATGTCAACAACAGGCCCTGTGCCTTGAACACCAAGTGCCAGGCGCTGTTGTGACAGTGTTACAAGCATCGTCTCCTCACCTCACCCCCTCATGAGGGCCTTCTGGTACTCCTATCTCCATTTTACACATGAGGCAATGGGCGAGGAGTTAAGCATTGTGCCCAAGGTCACACAGCAAGTGAAACAGCAAGCTAGGCTCCAGAACCCCTGCCTTGGAGCGGATGCTTGAATCCAACAGCGGCAGGTGTTGCCACAGGCCCCCCTGAATCCCTGTCATCCCCCGCAGGTTGTCTACTTCACGGCCACTTTCCCGTTCGCCATGCTCCTGGTGCTGCTCATCCGGGGACTGACGCTGCCCGGCGCAGGCGCAGGCATCAAGTTCTACCTGTACCCCGACATCAGCCGCCTTGAGGACCCACAGGTACCGCGGGGCCGCCCGTCCTCCCTCCCATCCGGCGGGCAGGGCAGGGTGTGGGGGCAGCTAAGCGGGCAGCACAGTTTCTGTGGCTCCTCCGTGTGCAGATCTAGCTGGGCCATCAGCCCCTGCTCCTTTTCTGCTGGGCTGTGGCGGGTCGTTCGCTGCGCTCGGGGGCCTTTCCAGCTGTGTGTGGCCCTTTTCATGTCGAGCACTCCTGAGACGGGCCAGTTATAGTCTCGTTTAGGCGCTGAGCCAGGTAAGCGAAGTCTTCAAGAGCTAGTCTCCTCCTCCGACACCGCCTCTGCCCTCGGCGGCCGGCCGGGCTGACTGAGGGAGGGGAAGAGTCGGCTGGGAGAGCTGCTGGCTTCCTGGCCGAGGACGGAATTCAGAGGTGGTGGCCTCTTGGAAGGTTGACGGGCAGATTCTGAGTGTCCACCTCCTGGCCCCCAGCCACGTGACTGCAGGGGTTTGGACAAAACCCTGGGAGATTCACTGGTCCGTTTAAGGACCTTTGGTCCCCAGCCTCCAGTTGCCTCCAGGGGCCTGTGCTGCTTCAGGCTTCCTTCCGCACTGTCCTTGGATGTGCGGGGGCTTGGCCAGCATCAAGGGACAGCTGGGAAGGCAGCTCTGTGGCCATCAGGACCTGCCCGATGAAGGTTCTGGAGAGCGGCTTTACCCCCATAATCAGTGGGGGAATTCTTCCCCATTCCAACTCAGGGGCCCCAGGACAATATCACAGTAATGGTAGCAGCCTTGACTTACAGGTCACCGTGTGTCTGGCACTGGGCTAAATCTTTACTCTTTGAACCCACAAAATAGCACTGGAAAGGCACCTTGGATTCCAGCACAGACGCTCCAAGTGCATTCGAGAGTCTGCACACTTTGAGGTGCAGTCCTGCGTGGCCAGGTGGCAGGACCCACGCCGCCTCCTCCAGGAAGCCGGCTCTAACAGCCCCTTCTCTCTCTCCTTGCCCCCCACACCCCCGTAGGTATGGATCGATGCTGGGACCCAAATATTCTTCTCCTATGCCATCTGCTTGGGGGCCATGACCTCGCTGGGGAGCTACAACAAGTACAAGTACAACTCGTACAGGCAAGTGTCGCGCCGGCGGGCCTGGTGGAGCTTGGAAATGCTGATGACGTTTAAAGAGAAGTAGGGAGCGTGGCTTCCTCGCGTTGTGAATTAACTTGCTCCCTGACGTGTGTGACTTAGGGACTGTATGCTGCTGGGATGCCTCAACAGTGGTACCAGTTTTGTGTCTGGCTTCGCAATTTTTTCCATCCTGGGCTTCATGGCACAAGAGCAAGGGGTGGACATTGCTGATGTGGCTGAGTCAGGTATGGTGGTATTGGTGGCAGTGGTGGTGGGCACTGCCACCTAGTGTGTAAGCCGAGTACTGCAGGCATGAAGCCAGACCCCAGGGGGCTTTGGGGGGGGGGGCGAGCCTGGTTTCTGAAATGGACCCCCCCCACCAAGATGTCCCCCAAGTACCAGAGAGTACAAAAGCTAAATTTTAAGCACTTTCATTGCAATTTGGCCCAAGGGGCGGCAGGAACGTGGGGGCTGGTTAAGTCGGGGAATATTTAGCTACTTTCCTGTGGTCTTCCCCCCTCCCCCTCCTTCCCCAGCAAACTCCTGGTTTCAGCAACAGAAGCCACTTTCCTAACTGAGGCCAAAGTCGGCCACCCGTCGGCATTCCATCACCAGCTTCGCAGCTTTGGTTTCTGTATTTTGCACTTTGCTCCCAGCGCACTCCCTCTAAGCGAACCCGTTCATCCGTTGATTTACTGAGTTTCTAGCCTGTGTCAGCCACCACCGTAGGCCCCCACCGCGTCGGGGAGAGACAGTGAGCATGGCAGGTCATCCTCTGGGTCGGTGACAGATTCGATGCTGGGGTAGGTGTGGGGACACTGTCACCCCCTCGGGGTGTAGGCTCTGTTGATGTGGAGCTTCCTCCCTGGGACACCTGGAAATGGAGAAGAGAGTCCAGAATCACAGACTCTGCAAAGCCTGGGATCTGAGGCTGGGGTCCTAGGGCCCCAGCAAGGTGATCCTGGAACCTGAGAATTACGAGGTCTTCAGTTGCTGGAATCCTAGAGCTTCAGAATCACAGCATCTCGGCTGCCTAAATTCTAGGACTCGCCCCTGGATGCTCTGAGTGCTGGACCTGCAGGTGGCCTAGTCATGGGAGAGAGTGCCTTAGGGTCCCAGGACCCCCAGCCCCCTGCTGGCTCCCCTGCCTTCTCCCCTGCTGCCCAGTTCACTCGGAGGGGGGTCGTCAGTTGCTTGGAAGGTTTTGTTACTTTACACACCGGCCGTGCTGCCCCCACCCTGCCTGATCTCCTGATTTCTCACGACCTCTCCGGGGCCTCCCGGAGGCAGGTGAGGGTCCTGGGCTGAGGCTCCTCTCAGGACCAGAAGAGAGTAGAGGGTCCTAACTCCAGGGACCACCACAGACCAGGGCCACGCAGAGCCGGCGTCCCCACCATGGCGTTGCCTTTGCCCTTGTTGGGTACAAGAGGCAGTGTCCTGGTTCCCCAGCCACAGAACCCCAGCGCTGGGGGTCAGGGCTGCCTCAGCCTTGTGCATTCAGGTGAGGAGACCAGCGACTTGAGAGCAAGGGCCTTGCTCGGGCTGGTCAGGGTCAGAGCTGGGGTCTCCTGGACAGGGCACCCCAACATGCTGGCAGTCCCCTCAGAAGTGAGCATGTCTCCCCTCCGGCCTCCCCACTCTACCCTGGATGCATGTGACGACCTCTGGCCCTTCTGTCTGGGCTCCTCTGACCTCTCAGGCCCCTGGGCCCGCCTTCCTCCTCGCTTCCCATCCTCATACCCGCTGCAAGACGAGCTCAGCGAGTCCACGCCTCGGCCCCACACCTCTCTCCACTGCCCCTGGTCCCAGATCGGACCTTGGACATAGTTTTTCTTCCCTGAGAGCCCCAGAAGGCTGAGGGACTGAGGACACAACAAGTAACTCCAGGAATGTCCCCGCCTACTTGGCAGTTTGGCAGTTAGCGTGAGGAGGAGACGGTTCACGCCTCCTTTGCAGCTTTTCCCAGTTGGCAGCTCGCAAACCAGTTCTGAAGGATGGGGAGCTGCAGGAGTGTGGAGGGAGCCTGGGCGGGGAGATGCGTATCAGTATATGAAACAGACTTTCCTCTGTGGACTTTGTACCTGTGTGTCGTCGACCTAAGTTCCTTCCTCCCTCCCATCCCGTCCAAGCCCTTGTCCTTGATTCCCCACGTGATGTCTGAAGAGCCCACACGATTATTTCTCGAATAAGCTTTTAACAAGCACCGTACTAAGCAAAGTAATTATCTTTGAACAAGGTAATTACTTAGCCGCAGGAGAGTGGGGTGGCGCTCATCCTCTGCTGGGAGAGGCAGGCGGGGGTGCTGGCGGCCGCCGTCTTCCACGTGCACTTCTCCCTCTGATGCCCTGTGCGCTTGTAGAGAAGGACGCTGGGGCCCTCTCCCAGTGGCTGGCTGGAGAAGGCAAAACTGAAATACAGCAATGGGTGCGTTGAGAACCTCCTCGAGGGTGGGGCTGGGGGTGGAGGTGGGGGCCCGGTTCACATCTGTCTCGCAGTTGGCTGGACCTGATCCCTCGCGCGGTGACGTTGACCAGTCAGGGCCAGAGCTGATGTGGGGGCACCAGGGGCCCCAGTCGAGGTGGAAAGGCCGCAACCTGGACTCTGGGGTGGGTACGAGCACCCCCCACCACTTCTCGTGGGGTTTTCTAGCATCGCCGCCCGAGGACACTCCGTCACCGTCGGGTTTTCCTCAGGCCGAGTGGACGCTGGGCTGTTCCAGGACTTGCCTCGCCCGCCACATTTGTGGTTAACGCTGTACGATGTACTTTCTGGCTCCACTTTATTTCCAAGTTTTTTAAATTCTTAAACCGCTCATTTTGTTTCTGATATCTGTTTTACATACCCAGCCCTCCAGCCCTTTCTGTTTCACATTTCTTGACCTCTTTTGTTTCAGTCGTGGATTTTACTGTATGTTCTCAGCCCAGGCCCCTTAGGCGTCCTTGTTTTTGCTGCTCCTGCCGCCTCCTGGACCCACCGGTCTCGGTCACAGCTCAGTTCTCCCCGGCGTCTTCTCTCAGGCCGGCTGCAGACAGGAGGGGACGTTTCTCTGAGGCCCTGGAATGTTTCCAGTCAGAAAGGTGCCCCCTGAGCTGACGGGCTCCTGTCTCCCCAACCTGCCTCCAGATCCCGGCAGAGGCCCCTCTGAGGAAGCCAGAAGCCCTTTTCTGGGGAAAAGGCATCTGCGTCTGGGAACCTGAACACGAGAAGGCTCCTTGGGAGCCGTTTCCCGTTACCTGCCCCTCAGTTCTCAGGCGGGGAAACTGAGGCCCGGTGAGGGCATGTGGTGCTGTGTGTAGGAGGTGGAGGAATGAGGGCTGGAAGGGAGGCCCGGGTCTTCTGAGCCTGGGGTCTCGCACACGCACGCCTCGACGCTGTTCAGGGGTCTCAGATGCGCCCCTGCAGACGCGCCCCTGCGGGGCCGGCTTCTGTGTTCTCTTGTCTCCCACTCCTGCAGCGTTTAGGTAGAAACCTTGTGGTTGCAAACAGGCTTTAGTCGTCAGATAACCAGAGTTTTCCCCCTTGGCTTCCTTCTAGCAAACGTTGGCATCGTTGGCTCTTGTTTTGGGGGAGACCCTCCCTCTCCAAGCGGGCAGACTGAGTCCACGCTCAGTCCCGTCTTCTACCCGGATACCCAGTGTCCGGCCGGATTCTGGTGTGTGAGGGGGCCACTTGGGCTGAGTGTAGGAGACAGATGCTAACACGGCCCCGCCTGAGCCCCGGTGCGCCCCCACCCAAATGTGAGAGGGGCTGGTGTCTTCCCCCAGGCAAGAATTCAGACCTGGCTCCTCCCTGCTTTTTGGGTTTGGGAGACCGGCCTCAGACCCGAGTGTCTTGTGTGAGCTCCGTGCTCACCCGGGCGGCTCGGTCGCTGATGTGTCTCCCCTCTGCCCCTCCCCCTTCCTCTTCCCTTCAGGTCCTGGCCTGGCCTTCATCGCCTACCCTAAAGCTGTGACCATGATGCCGCTGCCCACGTTTTGGTCCATTCTCTTCTTTATCATGCTGCTCCTGCTTGGGCTGGACAGCCAGGTATGTAGAGGTGGAGGGACGGCCCTATAGTGAGACTGCCCACGGCAAGCCCGGTTCTGGAAAAGCCCCTTCTCTGTGCTGCATAAGGTGGTCAGGCGGTCAGGCCCCTCCCCACCCGCACATTAGACTTGCAGCAGCTTCGGCCAGCGAGCATTCCTGGAGGACCCCGGGAATGAGAAAGGCCTCGGGGCGGCAAGTAGTGGACATCAGCCCCAGAGCTCCAGTGAGAGCTGGCAGGGGCTGTGTCTGGCTTTGGAGTAACACGGTTCTAAGCCCTCTGCTGCTGTGTGACATTGGGCATGTTTCCTCCTACTCTGAGCTTCGGTTTCCTCATCTTGTAAATGGGTATGCTTACACCTGCATTGCCTTGAGAGAAGCACCAGGCACAGTGCCCGCTGTGGAGCGGTCAGTGGGGTTCCGGGGACGGTCAGCGAGAGCTCCTGGGATGCCTTTCCCTGGAGATACGTGTGTTGTCTCTGGGCCTCCTCCAGACAGCAGCTTCAGGTACAGGCACGACTCCAGAAGTGGGGAGCTCTGTGTGCAGGGCACGCTGGCTGTGTGCCCAGGCCAGTTCAAGCCCTGCAGGTTGTGCCACCCAGGGGCCACCATCTGAGGCTGGTCACTACAAAGCCGGCGTTTTGCAGCCTCACCTGCAGGCTGGGGGCCTGGCTGCCTCCTGGAGTCTTTAGTCAGCTGAGACCCTGTGTGAGGTAGGGCCTGCAGCCAGCTCAGGCAAGGGCTTCATCCCCTGACCCACGGGCAGCAGCCTTAGAGCCCTTAGGGTTTCAGGGCCCCGAGTAGGTCCCCAGGGAGTCAGAATCAGGTGGGAGGAAAGTCTTGGAAGGTCAGGCAGACGAGAAGAGGCGGCCCCTTAGTAAGGTAAGAACAGAGCGAAGGATTTGGCAGAAAGGGGGCCAGGGTTAGCAGAGAAGGCAGAATACAAACATTTGGGAGACTGAAAACAAAATCCTGGGCCTTGTTGATGGGCCTGAACCGTGTGTACAGCAAGACTCCATCAGTCATTCCTAGTTACTGAGCTGGGCCCATGAGGCCCAAGCACACAGCTTCTACAGCTTCTCCCAGAGCTCTAAGTGGTGGCGAAAATCAAAAACAGAGCGAGAGCTTAATAAATGACGAAGATGACATCTCCATGGGCCCACCGCGGGCCTCTGCAGCTGCAGAAATGTCGTTCTTCATTAGATTTTCTCCCCAGGAGGCAGGTGGGGCCCGCTGAGGATGTGAGCCTCTGAGCTAGGCCCCCGCCGGCCGCTGGGCATGGGGAACCCCAGCGAGCTCTCCCTCTCTGAGCCAGCCACAGGGGAGCCGGGCTCTCCCCCTTCAGAGCGTGGAGCTCCCGGTTCAGAGCCCTTAAACAACCTGCTCACTGATAAGCCAGCGAGGGGCATGGATGGGCCTCAAACCCGGGAGCGGAGCATGGTGTCTCGTGAGGCATAGGTTGGGATCCCTCCCTGGCATCTATGTGCTATGTGACCTTGGGGTCGTGGGGGAAGGGCTTGCTGTTGCCAGTGACCGCCTCACACATCACCAGCGCTGTGGAAGGGTCAGAGCGTTGCCATGCGAGGTGTCCACGTGGGCCAGGCTGCACGCCAGGCTTCTCGTGTGCACATGTGTGGTAAATACTCGAAACATGAAATTGGCCACCTTGACCATTTTTAAGCATGCAGTTCAGTGGCATTAGTACAACCACATTTCTGTGCAACCATCGCCACCATCCATCTCCAGAACTTTCACATCTTCCCAGACTGAAACTCTGTCCCCATGAAACACTAACTCCCCTTCTCTCCTCTCCCCAGCCTGGCTCTTTGACTCATTAACTCCTCGATCCGCACAGTGTCCCAGTGCCGGTTACAACTGTTGCCCTCTGGAGCCGAGCAAACAGAGGCTTCCAGAGCAGGGGCTCCGCAGAGGGGTGGAGCCGTTCCCGGACCTTGGGGCTGCCTGTTCCCAGACCTGCTGCTTCGTCTCCCCTGGCCTTACCTTTGAGTTCCCCCAAAATAGCTTCTTCCTGTGGAAGCACAGAGATCCACAGCCGGCCTCAGGCAAAGGCCCCCCGCTGACCGAGCGGGCCCTTGCTCACTAGAGGAAATGTTCCCCGGCTCCCCACATTTGTGGGGAGCACAGTGTGTGTGTGTCCTGGTGAGCTGGAGCGGGGGCGTCAGCCACATGGAGGCAGGTGCCTGTGGAGAGCTGGCCTGCCTGAGGGGGAAGCAATTTGTGAACAAACAGCATGAGGAGAAGAGAGCTGGAGGCCCCTCTGCCCCCTCAGCCGGGACCTCAGCCATCCCGTCCCCTGACCCGGGTTAACAGTGACCATCCAATTGCCAGTTTACTCTCAGGATATCAGATCTGTCGCAGCATCCCTGCCAAGTAGGGAGAATCCTCCCATTTTACAGGGCAGGAAACTGAGGCTCAGAGAGATCAGGGTCACATAGCTATTAAGTGAGGGAGGTCTGGAGAGGCTGGCGGTGTGGGGGGAGGGGCTCTGGGAAATGAGGGGCCTGTGCCGGTCTTGGCCCCGACCCTCAGTGATGCTGTGTCTTCCTGTCTTTGATTTCCCACCTCACGAAAGGAAAGAGCCTTTGCTTGTGGCTGCTTTGACAGCTTAGCGCTTGAACTGCAGGTTTGCTGTAACTCAGAGGCAATTTGGGTTCAAAACACCTTTGGCTGATGCATCAATCAGAGGTCACAATGGCAGCCTCTTCTCTCTGGGCCCTTTCCAGAGCCTCTTGGTCATCTTTTCCCTGAATTTTGAGCAACAAAGAGTTGTTTCTCCGGTGCCTTTCGGCACACAAAAGGGCTCTGCTCCCTGTCTGCATTCTATGATCCTCCCGTGAGGCCCCAAGGAGTGGGTGTTGGATTCGTCTTGTAGGCATTGCTTTGGGGAACGTCCTTCCATGCCTCTCCCAGGTGGAAGAACAGACGGCGCGAGGTTTTCACTTTAAAACTTGGAAGGAATCAGATGGGCCTCAGGGGGTGTGCTGGTTGGCTGGGCAGTTTCGCTGTGGCCACCCAAATGTAAAATGCTTCTATGTGCCCTTTGACCCTAAAGTTGCACTTCTAGATTGTGCTGTGGACACGTGAGCACATGCATCTAGAGACAGAGGTAGGGGAGGAGTCCTTGCTGGAAACCACCGCTGGGCCCTGGTTAGATCCCTGGTGGTACGCATCCACAGGATGCAGTTTTATGCTGCCATCTAAACAAACAAGGCAACTCTCCATGTAATGATATGGAGCAATCTCCAAGACAAATCGTTGGGTGCAAAGATGGAAACATTTAGAAAGATTGAGAGGCATTCTAGAACATTCTCTATGGAGAGACATTTTCAAACCAGCTTCTTCACCTTTGGGAGCCCAGGGATAGGTTCCCAGAGTCCCTGAGCCCTGGAGTCATGGGCTGCGTTTGGCTTACACACGTGGCCGTGGGAGTGTGCGCTCATGCATGCAAAATTGTCTCATGGACCCATAATTCCCAAAGAGTTGAAAACCACTGAGTGAATCTGGTAGAGAAACTGAGGCCAACTTGCCCTGGGTTGCCGATCCATTTGTCATGTGTTTGTTGAGCAGCCACATGGGCCCAGCCCAGCTGGGCACTCGAGGCCCAGAAATGAGGGGGCAGCACCATTGGCTTCAGAGAGGAGCAAGACTGAGGAGGGAGGTTGTCATGTCCGCACACACGTGCCAACAGGGGTGCCAGACAGAGGGTCAGCATCAGTCTCAGAGGAGCTGTCATCTGGAGTAGAGTCTCGAGTGATGAGGGAAGGGCATTCTGGCGGCGGGCCCAGCCTAAGCAGAGATGAGGAGTGTGGGAGACTTGGTGAACTGTGCGTGGACCACCGTGGCTTTGTCGGTGCGGGAGGCTCACCATGCAGAGCCCAGGAGACCAGGGTCATGCGTTTGGATGGGCCCAGCAGGCTGGCTCTGCCCATATCGGGGCTCTCCTCTCTGAGCAGAGGGAGGTGCTGGGCATCTGCCGCTCAACCGCTCTCTCTTCCTCCCCAGTTTGTTGAAGTCGAAGGACAGATCACGTCCTTGGTTGATCTTTACCCATCCTTCCTAAGGAAGGGTTTCCGTCGGGAAATCTTCATCGCCTTCATATGTAGCATCAGCTACCTGCTGGGGCTGACGATGGTGACAGAGGTAGGTGATCTCTCACTGGCATGAGGGACCTCCCCTTGCAGGGCCCTTGGTGCCCTGAATACACTTCTTGGAGCAGTTGAAGGCCACGGCGCCTCCCCACTCCCCCTACTAGCAGAGGCAGCAGCTGGACAAGAGGACTGGGCTCCACCCAATTCAGGGGTCCTGCCCTGCCCAGGGGACTTGGCCTACACCGGGGGGGGGGGGGGGGG